CTGCCTGCCTGCAGGGTCTCTTCTCTCCCTGCTGGTCCGTCTCCACGAGCTGCTGCCTGCAAAGAAGACTCCTCTCTGCTTGACTCAGCTGGTTCAGCCGGAGAGTCAAGCCCCTCATGACACAGCGCTCTGGAGACCAGGCGAGTCACCGCCTTGCTCCAGCTTCAGGAAATTACGTAACACAGCCTTTCCTTCTTCGCCTGGGAAACAGCAGCCTTTATAAAAAGTCTCCAATTTTTATAGGGCAGGGCTTGTGTGAGTCTCTCTGACGATTGCTGACGTCACTGGGCTCAGTTCTCTCTGCTTTAGGAAGGAGCCGCAGTCAGTGTGGTGTGTCTCTGTCCTCTGAAGCATAGCAGCAGGAGGGAGCCCAGCTGGGCGAATAGTTCACTTCACCCGCAGAGGACCGACGAACTCAAGGCGCCGATCCCTTCCTGTTCCCACGCCTTCCCCGAGACCTGCACCTCTGACATCACAGGTGATTGCACTTCCTGTCAAAAGCCAGTAACCTTTGGCTCGTGGCATTGATGTCCTACTGCTCGGGCATCTGTGCTAGTGATTCAGGATGACCCAGCGTGTAGAGATACAGGGAATCCCACTGGAGGCAGGACATGTGTTGACCAGCAGACCTGGGCAAGGTTGGGGTGATACAAAGAAGGGTGACTGGACTGCAAGTATTATTGTTTAAAAAGGCTTTAGAATGAGAACAGAGCACGATTTCGGTCTTCCTGAACCCGAAGTGAACACCCATCAGTAGAGGCAGTGCCCACGCATGCAGAATCACTTTCTCAGAACTGGCCAGTAATGGTTAGCCACGGTTGATTGCTGTGGTTAGTCTGCAGTGCAGTGTTTTGTATCTAAACTGTGTGAAGGGGAGCTGAGGCCTGCGAAGAGGCATGAGTCACTGAGGGACAGTCCTACAGTGCACTCCTGGTCTGAAAAAACAGACTTCATGAATCACCTCTTTCTCAAAGAGCTGAGACCTTCACGTGACGGTGTCTGCATCGAGACAGAAAAGTTGACTAAAGGAAAGTTGTCTCGTCCGAAGCACAGTCATAAGGCACTGAAACAACCGACACAGAACTCCTACACTCGTTCTCAGCACAGGCCTGGTCCAGCCGAAGTCCTGCTACATTCACTGGGCCTGCCAGGACACAGCTGGGGCTCCTGGTCTCCATTTCCGGGAAGTTCCAGGATGAGATTTCCTTGCAAAGAGATTCAAAACTCAATATCTGGCTCCTCCGTGATACGAGTACCCATGGTCATGCTGCGCCCCTGTACCTACTGCAGGTCCTGCATGATGGCCGCTCTGGTTTATCTGGGACTACAGCCTCCGTGCCCGTGTGAATCTGGGGCAACTGCAGCTGGGCACAGTGGGCCGTCCTGTACCTGCTCCCGGGTTCGAGCTACCCTGTGCTGAGGAAGTGAACAGGCAAGGAGCCGCAGAACCAGCATCCTTGCTACTGCTGAAACGCACAAAACACAGTTGACTCTTCAACTGCAGCACATCTGACTGCTGTTCAGTTACCACTCTGGAGTGCAGAGTTGCCCTCAAAAGAAAATGGGAAAAAAAGTCTCTGCATTCTCCCCGTCTCTGCTGCCTGGGGACGTGTGTGCTTTTGCCACGATGGGGGGGGTCGCGGGGAGAGCCAGTGTGCCGCTGCGCCCCGAAACTCAGCAAACCGTGCTTTGCTGCCATAAGAGTACTGCAGAAATTCAGCTTGGCTTCAGCCTCATGGCACGCCAATGTTTCCCGTCCAGAGATCCTGTCCTGGTGCCGCGCGTGGCGGGGCAGACAGCGTACGTGCAGACCTGCGGGAGGCTGGGCCCTGCGCTCGCCGGCCTCTCTGAGTCAGCAGGGTTTATGGTAATCTAACAACAGCAGCGCCGCAGGGGGTGAAACCTCTAACAAACGCACTAACAGGAAGAGAAGAGATGCTAACAAAGCAACACTGAGAAACCACAGGGCCCCTTGTTTACGGGCTCTTACCGTAACAAACCCTCACCTGATCACTGGTAGCTTCTTGGCAGCTGGGTAGGTGTGATAGCGACAGCGACAGCCCGCTCTTTTTCCAGGCATGGAAACCACGGCTGTGGCCGAGGACGCCAAGCCGGTTATCGATCACAGCGCCGACCCGAGCAGGCCGGCGCCGGGCCCCGCTGACACCAACTGACAAACAGCAGGACGGAAAACGTCACGCTCGACTTTCCTCTCCCGGCCCGAGCCGGAGAGAACTGGGTGTGAGAACCTCTGACGCGCGTTGACGCAAACCGCAGAACGCGGAGCAGGCCGAGCCGGCCAACGAGTGGTCTTCCTCTCGAGAGGTCGAGAAGCCCCCTGGGAGAGAGTGTAACTTGGGACGAGCTTTCTAACACCTCAGTGTGCAGAAGCCTGGAGAGCAGATACATCTCCCTCTGTACTCACAAGAGCCCCAGGCGAGCACGAGAGAAGCACGAGAAGAGCAGGAGGAGAGCACGAGACGAGCACGAGAGGAGCACGAGAGGAGCAGGAGGAGAGCACGAGCAGATCCCGAGAGGAGCACGAGGAGAGCCCAATGCACATTCAGGCAAAATCCCGGCCACTTGCAATTCTCCTAAACTACTCAAGGCGCTCGATTTCTGTTGATGGCTGCATATGTTCTGATTTTACCTTCCGGGGAATCCCACATGTGCCTCCACATTTTTTCCGAATCGACAACCTAGATCAGCTTTTTATTTTTGGAGACGGTTGTGAGTGTGACTGCAAGGCAGCTGCCAGTGTCTGGGTCTTTCCGGCAGCTCAGCGAGCAGCTCGAGCCTCACCGGGACACGCAGATACAGCCTTCTTACACAAAACTGTGGAAAGAAAACTCAGCAACATGTGAGTTTCATCAATAACATGAGACTGCAGGCTGGGGCACAAGAGGAATTAACCAGAGAGGACAAGAAGCTACCCTGGTTCAAGCCAACACCAGCAAGGAAAATCACAATCAGAGAAAAACAGAAACAGAAAAGTTCAGACCTTAGTAAATAAACACAGTCCAAAACCCCCCTCCTCCTCCTCACTCCTGTAACGAGTGTGTCAGACTGAGCCCTCCGCTCTGCAGACCCTGCTCCATTCACAAAAACAGCAGCTTGCCCACACCCCCATGGGCTGGGGTTTTTTCTGAGCAAAGCAAAGTGCTATTGAGATGACTGCAAGCACAACACCAGCTTTAAAACGCTGACAGAGACTGCAGGAAAAAATAGGGCCCTTCTGTCAGACTCTGCGAGTCGAGTCAGCTCCGAGTTCTGATGCTGGATCCAGAGCTTAAGAAGGAGGAAGAATCCGAACCTGGGACAGGTCTGCTCTACTATCGCTCCTCGGACACAGGGGAAGAGCTGGCCCACTCTCTCTCCTCAGACCCGGGGCAGAGCTGGCCCACTCTCTCTCCTCTTGTCTGCAGACTGTCTGGGCTCGTGAGTCTCATCTGAGTCCTGTCACTGAGCTTCAGATAATACCAGCTGAGAAACTGCTCTTTTTCCACTACACACATGCCTGAGAAGTCTTCTCAACCGCGCTCCTCGAACTCTAGCATTTTGTCTGGGTTTCACAGTCAAACAGATATCAGATTTATGGTGGCAACAATTTATTTTGCTATTTTCCTGCTTATCTTTCGTTCAGTCTCTTTGTTCGAATCTGCTTATTCAGGGCAGGTCTTTTCTGAAAATGCTTGCTGTGAATCACCTCCCACAGGACACTCCAGGTGAACAGAGACACAAAAAAAGTGAAAACAGGTCGCGGAACAGAATGAGCAGATTAAAGGCTTTTATCTGTAAGAATCTGTGTGTCACAGCTTCTCCACCTTCAGCACCGATTCTGAGCCCTCGGCACTGTTTCCAGTGAAGTTCCAGTATTTTGCTGCAGCTGTGCAGAGATTGCAGAGCAAAGTGCACCCTGACAGTTTCCTACAAGAGGGGTGAACCTGTTATTTTTGAAAAAGGTGAATTCCAGACCTTTTCTCTGAGCGCAGAAGAGTGAGAGAACACCGTTTCTGTCACCGGGCAACTTAAAGGGCAGCATCCTCGTCTCGCAGTGACCTGCTGGAAAAAGCTGAGCAAAATAGGTAGTTGAGTAATGGATTACCGAATTTACACAAGATCCACATAAAAACATCTCCTCCGCACTCCACTGTTCAACGTCAGGTATTTAAAGGTCCAGAAGCGAGAAAGCCGAAATGTCTCTGCCTTTGCTTGCGGCGGAGGGGGGCTCGTGTTCTGGGCACACTACAGAGGCCTCGCACTCAGGCCCCTTCCACTCTGGGGCTCAGAGTGTCTGGGGTACACTCTGGGGGCGCCAATGAACCTTCAGAGGTATGTTCGGCAATCTACCTGGTCAGAATGAATAAGAACTCAAAAAATAGAAAAAGCTTCTTTGTTGAATAAGCACAGCTCTCTTAGTACAATGCAGTTCACTGAAGAAGTGAATCAATAGCCTAGTTTCATCTCGAGAGTGCCATCCCTTATGTCTCCATATTTCTGCACAGTTCTTGCAGTCCTACTGTATATCCAAAAAGATGGGGAAGGAGTACACATGCTTGGACAGACTTGGACTGCTGTAATATTTGCGCAAGAGACAACTTACCTCTGTGTTTTCAAGACCCGGGATGTGTTTGTCTGTCTGCAATTAATCAAGGCGTTAACTAACAACATCAGTGACAGGGTGGGGGAGATCAAGGACATCACCTGCTTGCCTTGACATTCTTTGTTAAAAAGACGTTCCTCAGCATGGAGAAGGTCGAGCACGATTGTGTCCCACGCAGCGCAGGGAGAGAAGCGGCCCTCTTGCCCAGCGATGCTGAGCTGCAGCACCCTGGCTGTGCTAGCGTCCTCGCTCCGCCCTGTGCCCGCTGGGCTTTTTACTCAGAACCAGATGCCATCTGCGGTGCAAAGGGAGGTCTGAAATGTATAATCACCTTTTATATTTTTAATCAGTGTTCTTTTGCATTTTTATCTATCTTGATCATGGTGCGCAAGCAGTTTCCTTTCAAATGATACCCTTTCTCATAGTGTGTTTTGTTTGACTAAAGAAAATGGAGCACAAGCAGTTCTCAAATTGAACTGGGGGAGAGATTACATCACTCTGGGTTTAGAGATGCACAATCAAGATGCAGGAGCCTGCCATCGAGGGGAAGGGTGTGGCTGCACTTGTTCAGGGGGCTAGCAGTCAGAACAACCCTGGGGTCAAAAGGGCAAATGTGACATTGATTTGTCACCATGTGTGTGATGGACTGAACCTATTCCTCTCTAAAGGTATCTGAGGAATCTTAAGGTGGCAGAGGATGATCTAACTTACTGGGTGGTTCCAAACACCATTCCTAATCTTCAGCTTGGATGCCATTTGTGCTGTCCCACGTCTCTTCTTAAGATCAAAACTTAACAAATCTTGACACATTTTGTTCACACTGGAGTTGCTTGTGAAAAACACATCTTCACACATTAAGAAGTGTTAAGTGGTTGTGTACAGGTGAGGATTTCTGAAATGCTGAGGATACATTTCCAGACAGCACCCTGTCCCACTCCCTCATCTGCCCTGCTTGTCTCCTAGAGAGCATTGCTGGGGTGGAATACAGTATGAGGCACGGTGCCAAAGCTCTGTGCACCTGTGCTAGAATATCTCCTTGAGTACAGAAGGCACTTTCTCGTCAAGACCCCCCCTTCACACTCTTGACAGGAAGGAAGTGAAACTGCAGCTGCTAACCACAGGAAGCCTAGTTAGTAATAAAGCTGGACTGAGACCGACTTTCTTTAAAGACTTCTAGCAAGCCCAGGGTTTCTTTTATTAATGAATACTCATAAAAACAAAACAATCTAGTTCCCTCCCCAACCCAAACAACACCTTTTAAAGTGAAACAAAGGACCTGCGCTTTGATCAAAGGAGTACACTACACAAGCACAAGAGACATTTCAGCTCACATATCTGGCATGAGTGACACAGCTGAGGTCCGTTTGAATGCACCTGGGTGCAGACACAGCGGCAGGCGGTCCCATGCTCTTTATAGACTGTCCACAACTGGTTCGTATAACAACATCAACCCTGGCTGTAGGGCAGAGGTCTAGTCTACAGCTGGTCTGAATATCTGAATACGATACAGGACAGCAACATTCAGTCCGAGCGAGCCATCTGTGGAGCCGAGAGGAGGAGGGGGCAACTGAGAGGATGAGGATGGGAGGAAGAGGCAGGAAGAAAGGCGAGAGGATCTGGGAATGTGTAGAGAATGTCTGCTACAGCGCCCTCCGCTGGTGAGCCTGGTCGTCCACATAAACAGACCTTTGAAGCTACAGGTACTACCCCATTTGATCTGTTTCAGCACAACCACGACAGATCCAAAAATGCTTCACCTCTGAGTCAGACCTGAAACTTGTTCATTTAAAAAAAAAAAGTGCTATGGAAAAGTCAGAAACAGAACTCTAGCAGAATTTCAGATTTCCTTGGCTTTCCTGCTTTTCAAGCTGTCTTTTCGAAGAAGACACAAAAGCCCCAGGAAGCCAGCGGCTGGCCGCGCGCGCGGGTGGAAACTGGCGGCTGCGGGCCTCTGCCAGTAAGGCGCAGGAAGTGATGCGGCGTGTGGTTGGAATTTACAAAGGCTCACCCAGCTCCTCCTCACCTCCACACTCAGTGTGACAGCGAGCCAGAGGAAACAGCTCGCCTAGCAACCCGCCACGCACACGCGCACACGCGCACGCACACACGCACGTATCCTGGAGCGAGAGGTGTCTCTGGGCCCGCTGCCAGCAGACCCTCAGGAAGCTTGGCTTTAAACCAGAGCCAGCCTTCCTCCAACCCTCACAGCTTTGCCTGCGCCCTGGGCACTGAGGGGCAGCACTGCCCACAGCGTGCCCGGCCACAAACAGCACTCTCAAACATTTCAGTGCAGCGCCGCCTGATTCCGACCAAAACCAGGGAAGCAAAAAAGTCTCGGGATTACACACACCCCCGCCCCTCCAGAGTGTGTCACAGCCAGACCCGGCTTGTTTTAGTCTTGACTTCATGCAGAAGCAGAGAGCCTCTACCTACAGCATACAGCAGATCCGAGAGAGCCGAGAGAGAGTGCAATCGAAAAAGATCAACTCTTCAAAGGCCAAGGCCAGCGGGTGTCGCTGTGCAGGAGGAGTTCCGCCCTCCTCCCTCCTGCCGCTCAAGGTTCATATGAAAGATGCAGATTTCTGTCTGTGGCCGAGCTCAGTGTGCTCAGTGTGCTCAGTGTGCTCAGTGAGCTCAGTGTGCGCCCGGCTGGGGCTCTAGAAAGTCCATCACCTCTCAGTAGTGTGCACCTTTACAAATACTCAGAAAACAGACTTTAGAAGTTTGGTCCATCTTGGAAAAACCCTCCAAGTGTTCTTTTTTTGTTTTTTGGACTTCCATCCATCCATTTTCTAAACCACTTTATCCAGCACGGGCTCACGGGTCAGCTGGGGTCTATACAGGGAAGCACTGGGAGCAAGGCACAAGGCAGACAGACACGGACGCACACTCACGCCAGGGCCAATTTTCCCAGAAGCCAATTAACCGACCAGCATGTCTTTGGAGTGTGGGAGGAAACACCCAAACTCCACACAGATAGTACCCCAGGAATTGAATCCATTGTGACATTGTCACAGACACGCCAGCAGTCAGGAACGGTGGTTAACTTGTGTTTATTGAGTGACAGAAGGTGTACTAGCGTTAGGTTACAGGAGCGCTCAGCCCAAGAGAGGTCTTCACTGCTGCCTTCTATTATATCAGCTCTTTCCTAGTGTTTTCTCAGGAATCCCAGGGGACAGTCCGTCCACCCCTTGCTACAGGACTCTCGTACAGAGCACAGGGATCGGTCCGGCCCAGAGAGAAACATCACCCCGGGACTGTCAGTGAAGCAAGCAGGTCAGCACCAACGAGTATTCAACTGAACGATAACGTTGTGCTCTTCTTCCAGTTCTTCACATGGCGGCTGTCTCTCCAGAACATCTCCTGGACACCCAGGGAGGGACAAGTAGGGGGACTGTCTCTGCGTCGGAGTCCCTCTGTCGGGGCTCCCCTGCCTCATGGCCGCTTGTCTCCAGCGAGAGGGCCGCGCCGGACCGGGCTCCAGACCTCCCCTGGCAGCGGAGCGTCGCCGCGGGCCGCGCAGACCCGGCTCACGGTGGGCCAACCCAGACAAATCAAAGCCAGCCTGGGCCGGGCCGGGGCCTGCAGGACACGAACAGCACATCACTGGCCAGCAGGGACTTCCACTTGGCCGGGCGGGCTCGTGGGCTCCCCACGGGAAACAGACGGGCCGTCAGCCCCAACTCCCAGCACCGGCGGGGGGCCCCTCGGGATGCTGCCCCCCAGAAGCGATCGCGCTCCAGCTCGGGGCCTCGGGGCAGCTGGGATGGAAGCATGGCGGGGAGGAGAGGGGAGGTGGGGACACCATGCGCCGTGCTGGGGTCTAACCACTGGGTGGCACTGTGCGCTACAGGTACTCCTCCTCCAGTTTCTGCGTGGCGCACTTGATCCGGTTGTTCTCGCGCAGGTTGCGGAGCCGGGCACTGCGGCTCGAGATCTCCTCCACGTAGCTCTTGGGGAACCAGCCCCGCTCGCCGTCAGACAGCCGGATCCCTTCCACCCAGCCTGCAACAACACAACGGGCCACCGTCACTCAGGGCCCCCCTGGCCTGGCAGCGCCACTGGCGAGCAGCCGCGCCCAGCCGCGCCCCCGACGGAAAGTGGCGGCAGGCTCACCGTCGCTGGCGGTGGTCTGGACCTGCAGGATGTCGGCCTTCTCCAGGGTCAGCTCGTCGTGCTCCAGCGCCTTGTAGCTCCTGATGCACTGGACCTGGGAGAGGTCTGGGGAGAGAGGCACCGAGTCACCAGCACAGCACCCGCTCCCTGCCTCCCTGCCAGTCTGCACCTCCAGAGGAAACCCTGACCTCCTCCACTCTCCCTGGGACTGTGACCTGAGATCTATGACCCAGTGACCCATCACTGGGCCAGCTCTGACCTGACAGAAACACGTAACTGACTGGGAAACTGTTATGAGATGAACAAGACTGAAGACCTTGTCCATCTTCCAGCTTTAATCACATCATAGTTAAACAGAAAAGGATCATTAATAAACAACAATTTCTGTCAGTTGGACTTGCAGCTGACACTGCAGTATAGTTTTAAACCTTGTTCATTGTGTACCTGATCTCAAAATGTCTGTTTGCATGGGCTCATGGTGCTGGAGCTGCTACAAACATCCTTGTGAAATATAACAGAAGTCTCCCCTGCAGCTGGACTGCCCCTAATCTGACACCGGGACTGTGGGACTGCACTGCCAGGCTGTGGCTACACCACACACCCGCTGAGCTGGCACTGTGCCCTGGGACCCTCAGAGGTTTCTCTGTCCCACCGGGGGGGTGTTTTCCGCTCAGATCTATAAGACACTCTGTGGCAGGCTGATGAGAAGGACACAAGAGACAGTGACTGTGAGGTCACTGAGGTCACACATGACAACCCACTGGGCCCATGGGGTGCTCGCAAAACATCCCACTTCAGCTCTAAAATTACAAATATCACTGCAAAGAAAAAAGAAGAACGTAGAAAAGTGCTCTTTCTGTTGTTGCTTTCCCAGGTGGAAATACCGAGTGTGTGCCCAGCCTCGTGGGGAAAGTGTGACGAGCTCAGCCCTCTTCCTCTACCCTCCCACTCAGCCTGCCAGTCTCTCAGTCCCCAGGCATGCTGGGACAGCCCCCGCCACACACACACACCTTCGTTCTCACTGATCTGCGCTCTGCTCGTCTCCCGGGCTGAGGGCAACATGGCAGTGATCCAGCGCTGCTTCTCACTCCTGACGGAAGAGCAAAAACCAGCAGCTCATCCATGTGGCATCGATTACCCAAACACAGCATATGCTAAATCAGCCCTACAGTGTCTCTCAGATCAGCTCACCTGGGGACTTTACATTCCGCACAGTGCGCCTGGCTCAGGTACTCGGTCTGTATAATACAGGTGCTCCGGCATTAGAATTCCACAGCTGTGAATTCTAAAGCGCCGAGTGAGCTGCACTAACGAAGCGCGGAGGCGAAGAGACAGGCGACACAGCAGCAAGAAGCACTTTTACTTCCGCAACAAGGAAAGGTGAATGCGAATACAAAACTGAAACACAGAGGCCTGGGCAGCGTTCCAATTTTCACACAAGGCTTTTACACTGCGCAGCATGACATCAGCCAGCCAGCGCTGGGACTGTAACAGTTATCACTGACAACAGAATATGTGGCTGAATGAGGAAGCCAAGAGCTCCGGGCAAAACAGAAACTAGGCCACTCCGTGACTCCTGCGGTCACCCTAACCCTTGACCCGGGGTGAGAGGTCAGCATGCAGGTACTCACTCAGTGTGTGCCTTAAGCAGGATCTGGTGCTTGAGCTGCTGGTCATCGCACAGCTGCAGGTGGAAGATGTATCCGGTGATGCCCTGCAGCTTCAGGCTCAGGTCCTTGACCTTCAGCGCCCCGATCTTGGCGTGCACGAACACCACGAACTTCCAGGAGCTGTGCGTGGGCAGAGCATTAGGGTCCGACCTCATTTGCAGGCAACGGGCATGCTGGCTTTTTTTTTCTTGCAAAAGAAAACGCTCAAGTGTGCAGCGTGAGGCTTTCTTTGCAAAAGTCCTATCATTTGCATATGATTTCTGCTTCGCGTTCTCATCAATTTCCGATACGCATTAGACTTTGTTCATCCGATACTTCTAGCAGAATCTGCAGCTGCCAGACTGCTGGAGCGCAATCAAGGACAGAAATGAAAACACCGGCAATCTCATGACTTTCAGAGTAGTTTCTCACACTACTAAACCTCAAAACCATGGTGCTTTCTTACAGAGACCCTGAAGTGCAAAGCTCACGAGAAAAAGACCAGTAATTATGGAACTGTGCCCTAATTCTTCTCGCCTCTTCTAGGTGAGAAGGCTGTCACGTTAATCATCCTCAATCATTTATGTACGGGAGGGTGAAAGTTATGAGTTTATTTAAATATGCAGAACTTTGCATTCAGATCGTTTTCTTGTGCGTGTTGAACACGGCGAGTTGCCGGCGCTGTGAAGATATATTTCAATGAGAGGTTTAGCTAGCTCCACATTTACGCATGTGTTCCCCTTTCCCAGTTGGGGCACGTTGGGGCCCCCATGCTTTCTGAATAGCCACACACTCCCACAACTTCCAGACTTACTCTTTCTTCCGGGACAGCAGCAGGCAGTCATTAAAGAGGTGCAGGTAGACGGGGCGCGTGGGCAGCTTGAACTTTGACCCGGATATGCTCATGGTTTGGGTGTCCACTTCCAGCAGCTCCCCGTGTTTTACCAGCCAACGGGACTGAGAGATGAGGGGGAAAATCTGCACCCCAAACCCACCCCCAGAAAAACACAATTACTTAGACAAAGAGCTAAATGGCAGGACGCCTGCCCGTGCTTTGCAGAATAAAGTCAAAGGCTGTGCTGTTGCTGAATACAGTCACAGTCATGGACTGTGTGTCCAAGGAGAGCGCACCTTGAGTCAAGTTAACCTTTTAAGCCATCATCATGCAAAAACAGTTGAAGACTAAACACACCTGACTACCAAATAATTAGATCCTTGAAGTTAAGAGTGTCAGGTTGGAACTAGAATCCGAAGAACCATTGCAGCTACTTCATGGGATTCTTGAAATAAGTGTCACATGTTCAAAGAGCTAAGAGACTGGTTGTGACAACATTTTCCAACAGGCTGAACCAGATCATCACAAAGGCACACCTAATGGATTGTCTTACATTTCCCCATAAATCAGCTCTCTCAGCGTCTCTCAGCCTCAAACCACCATGGGAACAAAATCTCCTTGTTCCCACCTTTCAGAGGAAGAGCTCAAGCTCAAGGCTGCCCGTTTCAAACAGCTCCTGAGCTGCTCCTCACTGCGACCAGCCGAACGCCATACCTTGCCCTCAAAGTGGATTTTCTTGTTCAGGTGAATGAGCTCCTCTGTTCTCTTCATGGACTGCACGCTGGAGTTGCACTCCCTGATGAGCTGGGAAGACAAAGGAGAGCAGTTTGAAATTTGCTTCCAAAGTCTGCGGCTGCTTCTCATTCCTACTGAAGAAACTCTTAAAAAACGGACTGATGCGTGAAAAACTCCCAGGGGAAGTTCACAAAGATCAACATTCACGTGCTTTCACTGCAGTATCCATCTTGAGAGAGTGCTCTGTGTGCTAGGAACCCAGAGAGGGCCCTGTGGGACTCCCTCATGGCGGAGCGACTGAGAAACGGCACCTTTTTGAGCTCGTTAAAGGCCTTCGTCGCGGTGTCTTCGTCTCGGGAGCCGGGAGCCGTCCTCTTCAGGATGTTCTGGAGAAGGACAGCGATGGAGATTAGGACAGAACAGCAAACTGAAGATCGCAGAGGGGCACAGGCTATACCCTGGCCCAGTCAACGGTCTCGGGGAGACGTGCTGCCCCTCAGACACACAGGCCGGGGGACACTGGGGCCCTCACCTCCACCAGCATCTTGAGCCGAGTGATCCTCTGGAAGGGCAGGATGAGGAAGGAAGTGAGGGGGAGACGCTGGCAGACCGGGTCCTCCTCCAGACGGGCCAGGATTCCGGGGAAGCGGGAGTTTTCATGTCTGCAGCAGAGGAGGGGGTGCGTCAGTCTGCCTCACCACTGACCGCCAGCATGCAGCCCCTGAGCCCCTCCTGCACCAGCACTGGCCTACTGGTGGCCTTGGAGCTCGAGCAGATCGTGCATCAAACACAAGTCAGCCGTATTATGAATGCGAAACGCAAATTAAACAGGTTATAAAACATCAGCTGATGCCTTTTCTACAGGAAACCCCCTCACCCTGCGTGTGTGACGCATCAGAAAGCAGACCACCGCAGTACCACAACACAGGGGCTGTGGATTTGAGGTCAGACCCTCATTTGAAACTCAGAAAATCACTAAGGTCAAAAGAAACAGATCAAGAATGACATGACTAATATCTGAAATGGTTTTAATTCTGTGCCAGCGTGTGAAACGAAAAATGCGTCGAACTTCCTTTCGCTCTCGATGCCTCTTTCTGTTCTCGCCCTTGAGACAGAGCGCTGCTGCCCCGTGTCTCCGGCTCGGCTCGCGCCTCTCTCCTGTCAGAGCACAGCTCAGAGGGGAGCTGGGAGAGGTCGCGCTCCCACTCCCACACTCCACACAGGCCCGCTGAAGAGGACGCAGGAGATACCCACGACAGTGAAAAATCTCCCACGAAATGACACTGGGGAGAAACAGCCAAAGAGCAGAAAGCACTGCACTCAGGAGAGAAAGGGTGTCGAGCATGTTGAGGTGTCCTGTCCTGTGCTACTGTCCCGTTCCTGGTGTCCTGCCCTGCGCTGGTGTCCTGCCCTGTGCTGGTGTCCCTGAACTGGTGTCCTGCCCTGCGCTGGTGTCCTGCCCTATACAGCTGAGACACGAGTCGGGCTCTCTTACAGCAGGCGCTGGTAGGTCTGCTCCTGGTAGGCCTGGTTGGTGACGTAGGGCAGGTAGACTCTGCGGAAGGCAGGGCAGTGCGCCAGGACGATGTCACACACATCGAAGCGCAGGATGTCCTCCTCCAGACGCTCTTCCAGGTCCTGGAGAAACCTACAGGAATCGACAGCAAAGAGCAGCACTCCTCACTGAGAGCATACTGAGCAGACAGACCCACTACAGACAAACAACGTTAGGCTGGAGGACACAAACATCCCATTGACCTCTGACCCTTATGTCGAAGTATACACAAGTCTGAGAAAGCACAGGCACAAGTGCAAAAACCCAACCCTTGCCCCCCCGTCTCCTACCTCTCACTCACATCCTTGACATCAGGCAGCTTGGAGAAGAGCCACTGACGCTCCTGGGCGCCCAGACACTCGCTCAGGTCCCGGGACAAC